ACAACTGAAAGAGGAAAGTGAGTTCAGCAGAACTATACTCATTTCGAATACTTAAAGCCGCAGACCGATATGTTAATCACCTGGCACTTTTCGCACTGAAACTGTATTTAAGCATATATATATATATATATGTATACATATACGACATTTATATTTATTTTTGGTACCTTAAAGAGCTTCTTATCTATTGGATAATTCAGAAGAATAAATTAGCAGCACGAATGCTATCTAAATATTCTTCATGTCCTTTATAAATATGTTGGTGAGTAAAAGTCATCTTATAATCCATTTTCTGGTGGTTTTACTCAAATTTTTAACTCAAATCAAACTAACTGGGAAGATCACATTTGATATGTAATATTGGTGTTCTGCACAACATAGAAGTAGTTTCCCAGATGCGTGTCAGACATGTTAATGACATGAAGTTATACTCCCAGTATATCTCATGTATGACCCCACCTGCTGTAGAATATGTGCAAGTGTTTATAGTGAAAGTGGCCAAGAGATAGAAAAGGCCATGTGACAAGACTGTGTGACTATGAAGCTTAAAATGAAGAGATTTAATGTGGCTCTGATGTATATTAGTAGCAAATAATTGAATCTACAAAACTTTGAAATTCAATATCTACATGGAGAAGCACAAAAGTACATTAAACACACTTATAAACTGAAACTGAACGTTACTGTCATGTCTCTGACACACTGGCTTGACCAGAAAGCAGTGAGTGAATAGACTGTAGCTCTTACAATGAGAATAACTACATTAAAGTTTTCTGGCTGCTTATGTCGAGCCATAGGAAGAGAGGATTACCTGAACGAAGAACATACAGACACGGCCACAATGACAATGTTGATCATCAGTCACTATGGGTGGGAGTGAAGGATAAATCTCAACAGTTAGGGTGGTTGATTGAACGATATGAGAATTCTTGATAGGAATAGTAACCATTACTGGGCTCTTGGATGACAGTTCACCGTGAAACATTTACTTATACAGTATTTTGCTTTATCCTCTTGATTAAATTTCATTTTGAAAATGGTGCATGGTGATAGGTAGTGAATTTAGAACGTTAAAAGCTAGCAAGTTTTGAAAATAATTCAAACACACAGAACGCTATTGAAACTGTTAAACATATTGTGTTGTTAAGTTCTAATGCACGTATTTTCCAAATATGTATAGATATATTGCCACGGATGTAATGTACCAAAATGTAATGTAATGTACCAGATCAGACGTGTGGGTTTAGGAAAATATGTACATGTCTGTAAAATCTGTTATGCACATGTAATAAAGATATAGTTGAAAGGAATGATTGTGATCATCTGATGTATTAATTGTTATTTTCACTAGAAATAAGTTAAAATGCTAGTATATTCTCTCGAAAATCTATGTTTTGTTGAATTGTTTACTTCTATTTTCTATTGGTAGTATTGTGTGTGTGTTTACCCACAGATAATGTGTTAAAGTCTAACAATGAAAGTACATAACCTTGCAACCGTTTAAATCTCCTGCTAAACAAAATACGTGTGTGTTTGAACATGATGTACAAATTTATGAACATGCATTTTATTTATAGTAAACATTCATTAAATCACATAAGTCAAAATGCCCAAATTAATGAAAGTGCCTATTTCAGAGAGAATTTGAATAGAATATTAGTTATTTAGTATTTTACCTTCTTGCTGTTCATGTATAGGTGTGAAAGCAGCGAGATCGACTCGAGCTCTGATAACTTGCATGTAATAAAACAGGTGTTGACGGTTTATTCAGGCACTGACAGGTTAAGCAATAGTATAGGTTTACTGTATTTCATATACAGTCCATTAAATAAGGCTCCTGCTGTTTTACTGATTCGATTGTAAACCATGCTTTTTCCAACTGAGCATGCCATTCCCAAGCCCAAATAAATGAGAAGGGTTACCGACAAGGTTGGCCACACATGTGAATCTCTGGCCCAAACCAAAATGTTAACCTCGGGTCTCGTGGGAATGAGTATAGAGCTAAAGTGTACCTTAGAAGCAACGCACAGCAGCAACCCCAATTGCTATCAGAAATGGAAAAGGTATATTGCAGAGTCCACAGCTGTGGCTAAAAAAGGTAGTGGAGAAAAGACTAAGGAAGGAAGGAGTTGTCAGAATGAGCACATGAGATATAATGGAGCGAAGAAAAACAAAAGCATTATGTTTACAAGAAACAAAACGGAAGAGAAAAAAAGGAAGGAAGGAGTTGTCAGAATGAGCACACTTGATATAATGGAGCGAAGAAAAACAAAAGCATTATGTTTACAAGAAACAAAACGGATGAGAAAAACTTAAGATTGCTAGCTTATGGTTACAATGTGTTTTACGATGGTGAAAACATAGAAAGAAATGGGATAGGCATAATTCTAAATGGAGTTACGAAAAAACAGTAATGAAGGTTAAAATAATAAATGGCAGATTACAGGTTGTGAAAATAGTACTTGGGCTGAAAAATGATGAATATAGTATCAGCATATGCACGCACCATAGCAAGGATGTTTGGAGGAAGAGAAAAAAGAATTTAGAGAGGCTCGTGCAGACCTAACAAGGAGCATGTCCCAGTAAGAGGCAATAATTGGCGGAGGAAATGTGAAATGCCATGTAGTGGAAAGGAAAGAAAGAAAGTTTTGATGGAGTGCATGGAGGAAAACGGTGTACAAGTAGGAACGAGGAGGGAGAAAGCTTGCTGGAGATGGTTGATGCTTTAAATATGTATGTTGTCAACACAGGTTTTCAGAATAGAGAAAACATCTTATTACTTACAAAAGTGGATTGTATAAAACACACATTGATTATGTGCTATTAAGAAAGATAGAACTATTGTGGACTGCTAAGTGATTCCAGGAGAAACTATAGGGAATCAACGTAGACTACTGGCTGCAGACTGTGAGAGTAGGAAGAGAAGAAAAGAGCAAGGGTAGGAAAAGAGAAAATAAACAAAAAGTCTGGACTTTCAAGGGACATAAAGTCACCGAATACAAAACAGTAGTAGGCAAAATTAATAGAACATACACAGGAGGAAAGAATGCATCTGGGAAGAGCCAGAAGGTGAAAGAGTAAATAAGAAATGGAATAAGATAAAAGCAATAGTGAGGAAATCAGCAACTACAGTTTGTGGTGTCACGAAAGCAGGAAAGCCTCAAGAGAGAGAGAGGAGGCATGGTGGTTGAATATAGAAGCGCAAGGGGAAATAAAACAAAGGAGAAATGTTTGTGAAGAAATAACAAGTAATAATGATAAACATACAAGAAATAGATATGGAGAATTCAAGTAGAAAGCAAGGAAATTAGTTGCCAAAGCAATAAGTCATGAAATCAAGTCTCTTTATTTTCGAAAGTATACATGCTGCACATCCTTCTATGGGATCTTTCATTTATGATTTTTTTTTTTCAGTTATCCAACAGAAGCTAAAGTATTTTTAGAAGTTATTTGGTTCACACGTATGTAAGAGTACTTCTTGATTAAAGGTTTTATTATCAGGTGCGAAAAACGTAATAGCACTAGGACATTTTGCAGGACGAAAATTTAGCCTTTCAATCAATTCATCATTTCAATTATAATATATATCCATAAGAAACTGTTTTATTTCTATAACACCGTCACTACGGAGTAGACTTCTTATTCAATACTACTGACCCAAATAACCATGTTTGTGAGATAAGTCTCTTAAGAAAACAAATAAGAGTGAGAAGTGACGTGAACTTTAAACGTAACTTGAAATATATTACAAACATTCAGAAAAGTAACTTTCCATTTCTTAAACGCTTTTCATGAACCTTTTTCAATTGTTACAGATTTAATTTATTAATATTAACTTCTGCTCAAAGCAACTACTTACATAGAGAAAAGAGTTAAAAAGTTTACCCAATAATAAATATAGCTAGTTAAATACACTTTTCAGACTCTCTTGCTCACAGTGATTAGAATACTATTACGTCTCTGGTCGTTTGTTAATTCAGGTATAAATTCTTCCCCAGGTACTTCAGCGATACACGTCCTTTCTTTAAATAAAACTAGTTTATTCTTTCCCAATACAACTTTGCAATACACAGTCACTTTAACTTAAACACACGCTATAATTCACAACGATTCACGCACCTTACTTACAGTCACTATCGCTCACTTGACTCAATTATCTGTCTATCTGCAATTATTATCCCCGCTTTATTTGTCGGACTTATATATTAAAATAGAGGGCGTCTGGCAAACACTCGAGCCTTCATGATCCTTCTAGAAACTCATCACGTGTTACCAGCGTCGCTTGACTTCCGCTGTCGTTACAATACTTTCGATCTTAAAACTAAAGATAGCAAAAGATGTAGAAAGTTTTATCTATTAATGTGAATGCCTATTTATGAATATACGACTTTCAAATCTACATGATCTCTACTATTACAAAAATGGTCTCTATACAAAAAAAGAAAGAAAAGTCTTTTGCTTGGAATATTTGGAAGAATATTATATAATTGCCAAACCTACCGTAACCACCATGTTGTGTATTCCAAATGACGACTTTTCTAACTGTATATATGGCGCCCAAGTCGACCGACCACCACGGAAACTTTTCATTAGCTGTGTGACTTATGAGGGAATGGCCACAGTCCAATCTACCATCCACACACATCGATGCTTGGAAAGAGTGGTGATACAAGGTGCTCTGTGTAGCCAATGCTCCTTCAGCAACATTTGTTGTAGCTGAAAGGACAGTTACAAAAAATGAAGGTATCGTGATGACCAAATTTCTCCATACATAGTGCCACACAAAATACTGTGTTTTGTGTATTAATCGTAACTGTCTATAAATCTCCAAACAATGAGTTAAGATATATTTATATCACTAACCACTTCTAAGCAGAGCTGTAGGATTAATAAGAACATTTATATGTCTTTTCACATTCCTCTTAATGTTTTCAATGCGGTTCAAAAGCAGTTGTGTTTAAAAGCAGTATTTCACTGGAAAAATACTCTGAAGTTAAGTAAATGAGAAAAAAGACATCTGCAGTTTACTTGATTTTTATAACAATTTTTAGGCCTATTTATTTCCAGTAGTTCGCTGGCTGTCGTCATTTCAACCGCAACTTTTAAAGTTAATGGTTTGTTTTTGAATTTCGCGCTAAAGCTACACGAGGGCTATCTGCGCTAGCCGTCTCTAATTTAGCAGCTAGGGAAGGCAGCTAGTCATCACCACCCACCGTCAACTCTTGAGCTACTCTTTTACCAACGAATAGTGGGATTGACCGTCACATTATAACGCTCCCACGGCCGAAAGGGCGAGCATGTTTGGTGTGACGGGGATTCGAACCCGCAGACTGCGAGTTGGGCGTCCTAACCACCTGGCCAACTTTTAAAGAAGAATGTTAGATAAAAATTTGTTTTTCAATAGATATAACCACTTACACTCAGCCTAGGAACAATGTACATAACCTGAAATACATTTGAATTTGTCGCCATACATATGTATTCAAGAAAGAACTAAAACCAATTCTTATATGTGTATATATATATATATATATAAACCTAAATCATTAGATATAAAATTTGCTTTGTAATTATATTGCTATATAACATAGAACTATTGATTTAGTTTTTATCACTCGTGTGTGTGAGCTGGAAAGGACGCATTATACATTTACAATATACATAATAAAAAAGGAAAAAAATTCGCAGTGAACGTATATGTTTACAAAATAACTAAACTCCGTGCCCTTTCACACGCTTAGGCAGGAAAAAATCAGTGCATGTCATTACACAAAAAAAGAGAAAATAAAATCAATATATACATACATAAAAGATACAGAGATGTGACATAATAAAAGAGCTGTTAGGCCCTTTGTCTTCTACACGTATACGCACGTGCGAAAGACAAATTTCACTCTTAAATTAAAATATAAAATACACAAAAAAAAGCAGACAGATACTAAAAATATGTATAAAAACGTTAAGGCAATATCTACCACACACACATTCAAGTGTGTAAAAAATAGAACATTAATATACACATGAAAGAAAAGTATAACATAAATACAGAAATATGAAATTTTGCTTTAAATAAATTAACTATATACAAAATGTAAATTCAACCAGAATTGAGTGACGTTTCGCAGTTTTCCGCTGCCAAGGTCTTCAGATCTTCCTTAGCCTTTGAAAGGTCTCTATTGATGTTAGTTAACCTGACCAGCAGTCACCACACCTTCTCCTTGTATCTTATTGGAATTGGTACCCCAGTAGCGTAACTAAGAAGAACCGAGAAGGCCAGCTGTCTCAGGCACAGCCCGTAAGGTGACGCAGAGCTCCAGCTATTTTAACAGATAATTAACAACTAAACCTGATCTTATGATTTGCACAATGGGCTATCTGTGCTCTGCCCACTACGGGTATCGAAACCCAATTTCTAGCATTGTAAATCCGCAGACATACCACTGTGCCACTAGAGGACTATAAAGTGTATGGGTAGTTCGTCAAACTAACACTGGGCGTAAAAATACCTAGTTATGCCACTGGGTCACTCAGCAAATCTTCCTCTTACTTATAGAGAGTCCCTGCCTCTATTCAGTTAGCAAACACCTGGCACTTTCTTTTGAGTACTGAGATATGGTCTAGTAGTGTATGATGGCCTTGGGTAGCTTTGTTGGGGTTTCTACTCTTACATTCTCTGTGCTTGTTCTCTGGAGCTCTTGGCTAATACCGTCTGGTCCATGACTGCTGAAAACGTGCTCCTTCTCGTCCTAGGGGTAGTTGGTTCTGCCCACAAAATAAACACTCCCCCCAATTATTGTGAAGCTTCTTATCAATGATGGAGGTAGTCCATGAACCAGCTGGTTCGTTTTGATACCTGTTGACGTTATGACCACTTTAGGAATGTCAGATTGGGTGTTCAAGATTTCCATGGCAACTGGCATCTTCTGAGATCTCATCCAGTCTCTGACTTTGTCAACTCTTGACAGGATCCAAGGATTTATTTGGCTTCAGAATGTATTGGTACCTCTGTATATGTGAACAAATTTGTCATTGTCATTGAGTTTCGGTGGTGTACCCTACAATGGGACATTTCACCAGGCATTGTGTCTTCCCAGGCTTCACTCCCCTCCCCCCTTTATTGATGTTAGCAATGCAATGTTGAAGGCTGCTGTTTTCCCTGTAGGCTTAGCTATTTAGGAATCGATGAGTTACTGGCATTGAAGTCTCCATAATGATGTCCTCCAGTTCAGCTAATGAAGGGAGTAGCATGGCCCCTGTTGATACCAGGGTCAGCCCAGTGACAGATGCAATAAGCTTTCCCATATCCAAGAATTGCCAAGCAACACGACTTCATCCATGGTTTTGGTCATGGTAAACATCTGGCCCGTTCCATGGGTTTTAGGTTTGACATCATCGTCACTCCTCTCGCTAAACACTAAATCCTGCACATCCTGGAGAAATACAAAATCTTCATAGGATGATAAGGCAGAGAGATCCATCACTAAGTAGTATAAAAAATAGAAATAAAACTCTAATAATAAGTTGTCAACAAGGCAGGAGAACCATTTGCTAGTCAAAAAGAGATTATCCAGGCTAAGTTTGTTTGTTTGTTTTGAATTTCGCATAAACCTACTCGATGGCTATCTGTGCTAGCTGTCCCTAATTTAGCAGTAATAGACTAAAGGGAAGACAGCTAGTCAACACCGCCCATTTCCAACTCTTGGGCTACTCTTTTACCAACAACTAGTGGTATTGACCATAACATTATGACGCCCTCACGGCTGAAAGGGCGAACATATTCGGTGATGGAATTTCGAACCGGCGATCCGTGGATTGCGAGTTGAGTGCTTTAACCACCAGGCCATGACCAATCATCCCAGGCTAAGAGCTTGACATTAACTACTGAAAGTATTCAAATTTAATTTTTGATTACTTCTAATTGTTAAAAAGGTTCAACCATGTTTGTAGGTGAAGGGGGTTGTATGTGCAGTTACGACCACGACATAATGTATTGGTCTACAGGCTTTACATATATTCATGTAATATATTCCCTATACAGGATGTACCCAAAGAGCTTCCCAATCCCCAATTCCACGAATCTCTGTCTGACTAACTACTTGTGGTTGTGGTACCCTCTGATGTCCCTGCCTTGCAACTGGAATACACTCCACCCCTCTCCGATCCGACTTCATTCTTCTTCCTACCTTATGATTATCATGTATATAGAACCCAGTTCCAATAGCAAGAAATTGAGGTCGAAATTGCAGCTGGTTCCTACATACTCTAAATTGACTTGATTTGAACAATACTATCCATTACCTTTGACAATTAGCTTTTGCTAATGCTTTCATCGTTTGTTGTTAAAGACTTATTTCCACTTACAAGTCGTGTATAGTATTTTTTGGTGCGAATTAAAAAGTTTCACCACGTGTATGTTACCTTCCACTTCCCCCTAGCACACCTAATGCCTTTATTTTCATGCTTTAATATTACATGTTGTAATGAAACAACCTTAAGAAAATATTTAAAGAACTATGTGTTTATTAAAACTATTTCAATCTGAATAACTGAAAATATTCCTATCACAACCAAATTAAATACAGGTACACCACAAGTATATATTTGTTATGATATCTAACCCACTGTCTGCAAATTTCATTTACTGCTGATAATTTCACCTGCTCATAAATATTTCAATTTATTCTTGTTGAAACACCTTCTACATTATTTATTGAGAAACAACAGTAAAAATCCCAGATAAAACTGTGTTTCCCTTACTCTTTCTCTCAGACATAATATTTCTCTTTGTTACTTTTATTTCTCACGTGAAAATGCATTACCCGTCAAACATTTCAATGCCAAAATTGAAACATTATCTTATCAGTTTTAATGATAACGAAATATAAACTGCACTTTCCAGGTCAGCTATTACATTTAGTCTCATATTAAGCATCACAGAATTGAGGAGGTCAAAGACAATTGTTTGTTTCACATGTAATTCACTTACTATGATCATTGTTTCACCATTAAAGGCATCATCAGGTAAATACTGGAATAGCTTGTAAACAGGTATATATATATATATATATATATATGTGTGTGTGTGTGTGTGTTACACCAAAGAACCAGAAGTATCTTTGACACACCCTGAGGCACATGGAGTGAAAAGTGGGGAGGAGCTTAAATTGATTTGTATCTTTAGAATTTTATATAGATTCGTTTGAGTGGCCTGAGGATTCTTCTAAAGTAGGTGTCTGTGACTTGTTGGTGATAAATGTCAAAAATCTACAGACAGCCCATAATCCACTAGTTTTAAAATAATATATATATATTCAAAACAAGTCAAACATATGTAAAAAAATTCTTTACACTATAGAATATAACAGTTTTATCTAGAACTCTAAATAACTCTCTTTTCTTGTCAAAAGTCCACACAAGTTTTTTCAATTACTTTAGAATCCAACTGACAAGACGAATTTTTTTCTTATAAGTGAATAATTCATCTACACTATCCCTGGGTTACCACAGTTGTATTCTGAACCTTAAATAATTGCCTCCTTTCGTTAGATTTCACACAGACGGGTTCAATTACTTCAGAACACTCTTTGACAAGACAGATTATTCTCCTTAACTTTATTAAACTGTGAAACTCATTTTAAACTATCACCCGTATGGCTAATCACTCATACACTAACTAACTTCGTGTTTTCTTTCGCTAACTAATTCTCTGACTTAACTTCACTTGACTTTTTCTTTACTTTCTACTTAAATTGCGCTCGCGAGCCACTGAATATATATATATATATACCTGTTCACAGAGGCCTCGAATTTTTGACAAACTACACGAGCAGCGTTATAATATAACAATACTTAGTTAAGAAAAATACCGAAGCTTCGATTAACGTGACGTCAACAACATTAGTAAAGTCCAGACAACAATGTAATTGCAAAGGCAACATACAATTCATACAGAGCTATGTAACGAGACTTGTCACAACTAACATCTTTAAAAGAATCCATCTTCAACACTCCTATCTTATAAACTAGACAATCATTAAATATTAAGTCACAAAATAAACTAAATAATGACACTTATACCAAACAGTCTTGTATATCCAACAGATACATTCTTTCTTAAAAATAATATCAAAAACCAGTCTCTTAACAATAACACCAATTCAAAAAGTGCTTCTAACAGCATTCTTTCTAATCCTTCTCTCTATCATAAAGAAACTATCATAGTATCATGCACTATACCAGAGTATGTTGGTTTGTTTAAGGTGTAGCCATAATTACTGTTGCTTGGGGCTTTTTCATCTGACAACCAGCTGGCAGTTACCTCTTCATACCAGGTCTTAATTAAACTGCCTTGGTTAGGGTGAGGGTATCCCTCCTACCTAGATTTTGCCTGATGGTTTCATATGGGAACACTCAATGAATTTTTCCATGAGTATATTCTGACCTGTAAATGTCATTGCCAGGTAAACCTTCTAATGAAATCAGTAAAGACTGTATACATAGGAGGCTATTCTCAAGGTGCTGATTAACTTGGCTTAATGGATTGCCTTGTTATAGACTGGGTCGAATCTGTGACAGATCTCCTAAACATTGTTTCCCAGTCCTTTTGCTTTTCCTCATCCAGTTGTTCAATAGCATTGAGGATGGGACTGTCCAAGCTCAGATCAGGCATTTTATAGTCTATCTCAGTCTGCTCATTCCTAGCAGTTACCTACTTGAAACACTTTAGGAAATAATCCACGTATCCTTTCCCTACACTCAGAAATGTAGGGGTGATCTAATTGACTTCACTTACAAAGACCTGTGATGCTGATCAAAGCCTATTTCTCATGGGTTCTTTGTCAATACATGGCTGAGATATTGCCTAAATTTAGTCAAAGTAATGTGCTAAATGTAGTCCTAGGTGTTACTTTCTGTACTAGGGTCCGATTATGAAACTACTATTTCATGGGCTAGTTGTATTATGTCCTAATTATGTAAAGCATCAAAGTTGGCCATAAAAATATCACACAACAAATGAGATAATGGAGAACCCATAACTAGGCCTTCAGTCTGTTTATAGATATTATTATTATTAAGTTGAAAATATTAGTTTTCAACGCAAGTTTTTGTTAAACTTATCGCGTCTAAAATTTCAATGATCTTTTAATATTATTATTACTATTTAACGACAAAAGAGATTTGAAATGTTAAAGTCCTATACAGAAGTTGTTAGCGGAACATTCGAAGACCGTTTATTCAATACAAAGTTTAAATTGTTTTGTATAAAAAGTAATACACTTACTATATATGTATATATAATAATAGGCTTTTTTCCATGCTAATAACTTTGAATTACTCACCCTCTTGAAGCCAGATATTCAGCTGTAAAACGTAGAAATTATCAATCACATATAATTACAATTAGAATATCACACATTAAACATCATACAAACTAATTGAAATTGCTATATCTCCTGAAAACAAATATATACTGGAAGATACATTATAAAGATCTATTGAACTGTTCCAAAGTAAAATATAAACCAAAAATCTATAAGTAAAAAATCGGAAACAGCTTATAACTAAGTTGATTGAAACTAAATTTGTTCGAAAGTGAGAGAGTGAACAAAGAAAATATCTTGGTAACTTTATTATAAACCATACTTAAGAAACCATGACAACCTAAGGAAACATAATTTTTATCTTGGTAACTTTATTATAAACCATACTTAAGAAACCATGGCAACCTAAGGAAACATCATTTTTATCTTGGTAATTTATTATAAACCATACTTAAGAAACCATGACAACCTAAGGAAACATAATTTTTATCTTGGTAACTTTATTATAAGCCATACTTAAGAAACCATAACAACCTAAGGAAACATCATGTTTAGAGTTAAATCATAAATAACCGCAAGTATTCTTCCTACAAAGCAGTTAAAAATATTAAAAATTGATATTACCTTGCAGTGCAAAATACTTATCATTAATATTACCTTGCAGTTAAAATGCTTACCATTAATATTACCTTGCAGTTAAAATGCTTACAATTAAGTGGAAAAAGTGTGTGTGTGTGTGTGTGTGAGGGGTGACTGGTGTCCCTTTTGCCCTAAGTGTTAAGCACATATTTTGAGTTAAGTGATTTTTGGTACACACAATAAGTTGTAATTATTATTGAACGCAAAGAGTGGTGATCAAACTTATATATATGCATTTGGTATCCCTTTCTTTGAAATTAGCAGGAATAATCGATTTAGCGCATTTCTGAAAAGAATCAGTTTATTATACATGGTAATATAAAATCAATGCCCAAAGACCGAGGTAATTTTAATATGTGAAGAGACTTATCAGTGTTAATAAAAAATTCAAGTGAAATGATATCAAGCAAAAGAAATATCACATGGAAATGTTTAATAAAATAGAAAGTATTAAAACAGTGCATGCTCTGTTAGCCATTTTTTATTGTAACCTACATGATAACTCAAATGTGAATTTATTACACTTATTATACTGTCTACTATATCAGGTTATTACCAAAATATTTATCTGTTCCATTTTTGTTGATGTACGGAGGATTGAGTAAGTTATATCAAAACGATTTTAAATATACAAATCAATACGTCACATGACAACCCCAGCTGATATAAAGTAACAGTGGAACGTATGAATTAGAACTACACTTTCACACTGCTTAGTGTTTCGTTACATAGTATGATCAATACGTCACATGACAACCCCAGCTGATATAAAGTAGCAGTGGAATGTATGAATTAGAACTACACTTTCACACTGCTTAGTGTTTCGTTACATAGTATGATCAATACGTCACATGACAACCCCAGCTGATATAAAGTAACAGTGGAACGTATGAATTAGAACTACACTTTCACACTGCTTAGTGTTTCGTTACATAGTATGATGCTACCAAAAATTAATCGCTTTTGAAATGCAACACAATCAAGATGGTTCTCAATCTGAAAATGAGGCCAACAGGATATGCCTTCACCAAGATAAGATAAGTAGCTGGAGAAAGAACTGAATACCATTCCATACGAAAACATACTGGTCAAATCGCTAGACGCAGCACTTTGGGATTTCTGTGTTAAAATGAGCGCTGAGAAACTATCGTCTTCATAAACTAGCTAGCTTGTGAAAAGGTAGCAGGGAGGATTGGTGTTCTCTGGATATGAAAGCCTCGTCTTCGTAAACTGGATAGCTTATGGAAAGGTAGCAGGGGGGATTGGTGTTCTGTGGACATGAAAGCCTTTCGACGAAGCCTTTTGAAGTGGAAACTACATTGCAGCGCTATTGTTACAATGCATAGTCGTCAGATAGAGCATGACTGGATTTGGTGACGTAGACTGTTACGACGTGGTGAGGCTCCTAAATCGTTTTAATATAACGTAATCAACCTTTGCGTTTATCATCCTGAGAGTTGGTATATATCACTAAAGCTAAACCGAAAAATAACATACTTGTTTTGTTTTAATTGTGGATTAACGTTAAACAAAATAATATTATTATTCTAACAAGTTGAATTACAAGTTGTTGTAGGCACGGAGTTTTATCAAGATCAGTCATGTGTGAATTTTTTGTTGTTGTTTTTAAACCTGACTAATTATCTTGCAAATACCCACCGGTTTTATATGATAAGTAGCATCAGGTAATAGGTCTCCCAGGTAAAGCAAGTTGCAGTCATTACTTGGGTGAAATCTATATAGAATCCAATCAAATCTTTTATTATTCAACTTGGTTATCTAAACGTAGCATACACCTTTGTGTTTTAATTCATATATTTTAAAAGTTTTAACATAATAACACCCTAATAATGGCTGGAGACGGCTTGAGTAGGTAATGAAGACAAACTTTAATATAAGTTTAACATAACAGCAGCTGTACAACGTTTCGACAAGGTTTTTTCATCATCAGGTAGATAAGGATTTAGTGTCCACCAATCCTGTGAAAACTGCATTAATCAAAGACTGGTCCAAACCACAGCCAAGTTGAGAATCTCAATTTTTTTTTACGTTTTGCATCAATTATATTAGCAGTTTTGCCAAGTGTTAGATTTGGGGATAAAAGTGTATTTTACTATCACCATAGTCTGATAGTTTACCTGAATTGACCATACAAACTGTCAAGCAAAATTCTTAAACCAGACCAGACTGATTTGGATGGGTATGTACTGTATGTCATAATTGCGTATCATATAACTGAGTTGAGCAACA